ACGTTTTGCGCAAGAAAATGCATAGGTAGGGACGTTCTGCACCAAAAAATCAAACGTAGGGACGTTTTCCACACAACCCGTCATAGGTAGGGACGTTTTGCGCCAATAACCCTTAATTTTTTATGAAATGAAAGATAAGCATTGCAATAATTGTGTATGTCTCTCGTTTAAATACAAAATTAGTATTGATAATTCCATATACTTGACATCATTGTCTATAGAAAGAAGTGTCTTGAGAAACAAATTCTTGTAGTGTGTTATTTTTGTTGAAGAAATAAATTTCAACTTTTAACATTTATGCCAAATCGACTATATCCAAGTGACTTCATTTCTAGATTATATTTTCGGTGTTGTAGAAATAAATTTCAACTTTTAACATTTATGCCAAATCGACTATATCCAAGTGACTTCATTTCTAGATTATATTTTCGGTCTATTGACATCATTGTCCATAGAAAGAAGAGTATAGAGCAATATTTTCATGATTATGTTTGTGTAAACATAAATCTCAACTTTTCAACAACTGTGACAAACCGATCATGTCCAAACGACTTCAAGTTTACATTTTGTTGCCAGTCTATTTACATCATGATTGTCCATAGAAAGAAGCGTCTAGAGCAATATTTCCATGGATTTTTTTTCCTGGTAGACATAAATCTCAACTTATCCACACTTGTACCAAATCGATCGTGTCCAAATGACTTCAAGTTTAGATTTTGTTTTCAGTCTATTGTCATCATTGTCCATAGAAAGAATCGTCTTGAAAAATATTTCCATTGCCCGTACGACTTCAAGCAGCAGAATAGGAAGTTTAGGAGGAGAAAACCCTGGTTCTAATACACATAAATCTCAACTTATCAACATTTGTGCCAAATCGACCATGTCCAAACGACTTCAAGTTTCGATTATATTTCTAGTCTAATGTCATCATTGTCCATAGAAAGAAGCGTCTTGAATAATATTTCCATTGTCCATACAACTTCAAGTCTAGTTTTGTTTTGTTTTCAGTCTATTGACATCTTTGTCCACTCATCTAGAGCAATATTTCCTGATTATTTTTGTGGTACACATAAA